ATTTATAAAAAAAAAAAAAAGCTTGACAGATGTAGTCATTATGATTTGTCATGGAAATGAGAAGATTGTGTACATTCTTCAGAAATGTTCCTTCTGTGTTTCCTCTGGAAAAACAACAACAACGGTAAAGAAGGTGAATAATGACTGAATATTCATAAATATACAGCTACTTGAAATAAACATTTGTTATGATTTACAATATGCATATAGTGATTAAAACTGACTCTACTAATGCAAAACTAAATATTTTTTTTATTTGATTTAAGTTAAATAAATGATTTGAGAAGTCTCTTAAATGCAAAATGAATCATTCACAGGACATGGTTCTCGATCAGCTTTTTATGTAAAACATGCCCTCACTGATCTGTCCTCACTCCTCATGTTGACAGACATGTGTGGCATTGGGCAAGTCGATCACACCACTCTACAGATGACTGAATCAGAACATTTCATATGCTTATGCCTGGGAATTTAGGAAGTAGAGGCTACTTTATTTATCTCTTGACTCCTTTACATTAGTGATTTAGTTCTAGAGTGACAGACTTGCTTGTTTTGCTTAGCCTTTGACTGTTAATTGAATACAAATTAATGGAACTTAATACATACAGAAATTGATTTAATTAGTTTAACTTTGTTGAGTAAGTGCAAATTGTTAGTGTTCTTAATGTTTAATGTTGCTTAAGGGGGGCAGTGAATGTAGTTTATTCAATCAGAATTCTTCATACACAATAAAAGTTGTTAATATAGTTTTGTTACAGTTTTAACAAAATAATTGCATAATAAACTGCATGCGGGTTTCAAAAGTCCTACTGAACATTTGGGTGCTGGGCCTTGACTAAATGCCAAAGCTAAGATAACAAAGTATTTGTAATGTCTAACCTTATAATGCAACCTTATTTTAAGATGATTTAAATAATATTCCATGGACAGTGTCACCTTCTCTTGAAATGATAAAGACCATGCTCTGAATACCAAACGTGGAAATCTTTGATACTGTTGCACCATGCAGCCCATAGGAAGAAAATCTCACTTGCTCATAATACTTCTTGGATAAATTAACACATATGTGCCATATATGTTTAGTCAGATTTTTCTGTTAATAAACAGCCAAAAAAAACTGTCACAGAGAAATGAATGACTTAGATCATGATTTTTAAACAGACAAGAAAACAGTGATCATAAATATTTCACATTTACTGACGTTGGAGTTACCTAAGGGCTCCGTATTAGGACCTCTGCTGTTTTAATTCCATGTGTTACATTTAAGTAATTTTATCAGCAAATGTGTTAAGTTTTTAATAGCTATGCAAGTGATACACAACCGTTCCTTCAGTTCAATCGGAAGATCACAATTCCATAATAGATACTTTTCAATAGATGTCCCAAAATGTAATAATACTGAATGAATTGTAGTGGGTAAATATATTCAGAGAAAAAAAAATTGTGTGTAAATATAAATGTATTATATGTTTAGATTCTGCTTTTTGCATTGTCCCTTATTAAAATTTATTTTAGGTTACCAAAGTTTAATACTGTAACTTAAGAAACCATGTGAAGCCAAATTAGTCTAGAGTCATCCAGGAAAATACTCATGAAAAACAATGTTTTTGGTTCTTTATAGGTGGACCCACTTATAATGCAATGTGTAACTGCTTTTGATTTTTTTTTCCACATAAAGCTCTCAAAGCTACTGTTATATAAAATATATTCTAATAAAGGTCAACAACAACTTTATGTTAATCACTTATTAAAAATATGATATATTATAATGTATCATTTCTGTTTTTCAGGTAAAGCTCCTCAGCCTCGTGTTGGCTATCAAATGCCAAAGCCTGATGGTTGTAGTACCTCACTGCTTGGCTTCCAGGTACCGAACAGCGTATGTGTCTCTTTATTTCTACTAACATTAAGCAGTGGCCAGGCTGTCACCTGTTCTGTCCCCATGCATGACCTGTGGGAATCCTGCTAATGAAGTGTGCACTGGTCAATGAATCAAAGTTATAAATAAAAGATCCATCCAAATGTTAGACCGGAGAAAAATTAGATAATTATATACCTTTTGTATCTGATACTTGATAACACAAAGACAACCCTGCTTGTTTAAAGGAGAAAAGCACTGACCAATGACTTTGGGGTTCAAAGTACAGTGACGCAATATATACAGTAACGCTGGCCTTCAGAGAAGCTGGTAGATATCTCTCTTCCAGGTTAGTGGCATCAAATATGAAAAAAAAATAATAATTTGTGGCACTTAGAAGTAAGTAAACTAGATACTCGTTTCATTTCTTACACCTTATCTGGTCACACTTTCGTTTGGGGACCAATTCTCACTATTAACTAACTATTAACTATGACTTCTGCCTCAATAAAGTCCTAATTTGCTGATAGTTAGTAAAGTAGTTGTTAAGTTTAGGTATGGGGTAGGGTTAAGGGATTTAAAATATGGTCATTCAGAATAATCCATTAATATGTGCTTTATAAGTACTAATTAACAGCCAATATAATATGCATTATAATAAGCAACTAGTTAATAGTGAGAATTGGTCCCTAAACTAAGTGTCACCCATTGTCTCAACTAATGTTATGGTATAATAAATTTCAGGTAAACCCCTAACTGTGACAAACTGAGTTCGGTTGCTTTACATCAGACTCAGTCAGACTGTCTCTTCCTTTCTAAGTGGGTGGTTCTTGGCCATAGTAAGTTGCAATGTGGACCAGACCTCATAGCATTAAGTTAAAGGTCTGGCTCTGCATGACTACTATTGCACAGTCCAGCACAATTTCAGATATGGTGCTCCTAAATTGAGAGACTAGCACAGACTCTGAAGATGGTTCCGGACAGTTGAGTTTGGCATCCAGCCAAAGCGCTGATGGGACTGCTGTCAGGAAAGAGGAAAGCAAATGTGCCAATTACTTTCCACACAAAGACTCATGGACAGCCCTCTGTGTAACTTTCTGGATCTTGAATAAATTCTAACTTTGAAGTTTAAGGTGTTCAATCAGAAAGCACTTACACAGGCGATATATCTGAATCCTCCTCTATGGGCGACAAATGTAATTGTCTTCTTGTTTCAACTTTACGAAATACGACGCAACTCTAACCATGCTCCATCACTGCGTCCCTTAAATAACCAAGTTATTTGTGTGGTTCTTTGTGTGTCTGAACTGCATTTGGTTGTTTGTGTTTTAAAGGAACACTCCACTTTTTTTGAAAATAGGCTCATTTTCCAACTCCCCTAGAGTTAAACAGTTGAGTTTTACCGTTTTCAAATCCATTCAGCAGGTGCAATGATATTATGTAGCGTCTGAAAATAGGCTAACTTCCATCAACATAACCAACGTGACCACCTGCTTGCAAAGGGAGCGTGCAGGGCACTATTTTCAGGCGCTGCGTAATATCATTGCGCCTGCTGCACCCATGGTACGGCAGCAAAAGTTCCTTGATTATTGCATCGGAATGAGAGTATAGTTCCTAACCATATCGGCCTAGAATATCGCAACTTTTCATTTTCCGTCGATCTTAGTACACGATGTAACTACAGAAGAGTCAAGTTTTAAATAGGAAAAATATCAAAACTCTTTGGTCATTTTTGAGCGAGATGCTAACGGTCTAATCGGATTCAATGATCTATGCTAAGCTACAGCTAAAAGTGCTACCGCCAGACCCGGAGATCGGCTGAATGGATTAGAAAACGGTAAAACTCAACTGTTTAACTCTAGGGGAGTTGGAAAATGAGCCTATTTTCAAAAAAAGTGGAGTGTTCCTTTAACAGTGAAGTGTGGATTTTTTTAAAGCTCATGTTGTGTAATTTGCTGTTTACATACAGTTTGATATGGGTGTCCCAGCCATGACCAAATGTTGTAATCAGCTGGACATTTGCTATGACACCTGTGGCTCTAACAAGTACCGCTGTGACACCAAATTCCGCTGGTGTCTCCATAGCATCTGTGGTGACCTGAAGAACAGTCTGGGTCTCATGTCAAAAGTCGAAGGTGTGAAATACACACACACACACACACACACATTATATATTTCATTATTATTTTTTTAGTTATGCTGCTTTGCTGACTACATATTGGAACAGATCCATTATCTATTATGGCTAACCAAGCTGAAAAATATTTTTGATTGTTTACATGGATTGTCATTTGCAATAGCACTTTTGTACACCAGACACATTCCCATCATGGCCTTTCTCTCCCACAGCCTGTGAGACCTTTGCGGACACCATGTATAACACAGTGTGGACTTTGGGCTGCAGGCCCTTCATGAACGGCCAGAGGGCAGCCTGCTATTGTGAAGGAGAAGAGAAGGATGAGCTGTGAAGACCTACAAACCACACCACCTTCAACACATATAAACACTTTACAAGTTTAAACTACTCCACACTAGGGGTCAGTATTAGGATGAATCTCTTAAAGACACACCCTGGTCACATTTCACCACAAAAATGAAAAGAAACAATTAAGCAGATTTACTGCAATGCACAACAGTGGTGGTTGTTATTGGATTCTCATTAGTTTGATATAGTTATTTTATTTATCATTATTATTATTATTATTTTTAATAATTGTAATTATTATCAGCATACATTAAATGTAGTATATGACATACTGTATTACTGCAATGTATAAATGTTATTAATTTACATTTAGTAATTTAAATAAAATATGTATTTTATTTGCATTGCAGCAAAAGAGATTTTTTTGCATAATCGCAATGAAAATTTCATAGAAATTAGCCTAATCTTCCTAAAAATGTCACAAAGCAAGCAAGCAAACAAACAAAGAATTGTATTGGTCCTAAAAAATAGACACATATTTTATATTTTCTTCCATATTTTGGGGGAAACAAAATATTACCTTTACATGTTCTTGACAAGTTCGCCCACTTACCCTTGAGCTGGTGTCTGTGGATTAGTTTTAGTTCAGCAAAAACTAAAAAAAAAAAAAATGATGCTGTATGTGTGAAAATGTGAAGATTTGTAGTGTGTGATTGTGTGTATTGTTATATCCTCCTGACTAACAGGAAAAAAAAAAGTTTTGTGGATTTAGTCTTTTTTTTTCATGTCATTACATTGTTTAGGGCATAAGAAAAAAATGGAAAAATAACTTTTTTGAAAAATGATATTTTATGCTATGTCCTCTGTAGAGGAGACCATGACATTAAAAAATCTTGTTTTCAAAAAAATTAAAAGACATGAATAGACATCAAAAACAGTGGGGTTTTTTTTAAATTGCTAATCCATTTTTCTTTTTTTATATACCAAACTTTATATAAAGATGATTTTCAATTATGTTATGAAATATATAACAGAATGATTTGATATACAATTTTGCTTTATGCAATATGTGTGTAAAATGGCCATAAACGGGTTTTCTCATTAAATACAATGTATCTATAAACTGTATCTAATTTGCATATTAATGTGTTTTTGGGGCAACATGTAATGAAAAAAGAAGTGTAATAATGGGAGTAATAATTGGCAAGATTTTCATAATAATATCTAATATTGCATAGGAAAGTTGATACATAATTTCTTTCCCTATTCACTTGTTGTGTCTTCCAAAATGCGTGATAAATATGCTTTAAGTCCTGGTGTCCTCTACAGTGGACATATATAAAATCAATATCCTGTTTCATAAAAGAAAGTCATATTTTGATTTGAAACCCCATAACATTTTCCTGAGATGTTGATTTATGACAAACAATTAGAAAATTAGTCCGATTTAAATGATCATTACAAAATATAATCATATTTCCATAAGGGTGTTAAATTTGATTACTAAATTAATGTCAGCCATTTTTAAAGACCAAGGAGAGGGAGTGGTCATGGTGAAACATCCAAACATTTGGTATCTCTGAAAAGCCCTGAATGTACTCTGTGACATGTAACGTCTCAGAGAGAAATTCACTAAAATATAATGTCCTCTACAAAACTCCATAGCTGGTAGTCAGGAGGATTTGGAAAGACAATATCCATAAGATATATAGGTTGTCTCAATTTCATATGTCCAATTAAAAAAATAATATGCATTTGCTTACATTCAAAAAAAGGCCCATAAACACAAACAAACACATAAACAAATTATTGGCTGTAAAATCATTTTATTTTCCCCAGTAAAACAGTGCTGAACTTATTTGCAAATTAGCCATTCAAAAGTGTAAAATGCTTCTTATTCTAAGCTGAAATGCCTTGGCTTATACTGCATGCACAATACATCACCTAGATGCATGCACATGGAAAGACATGGAATTTTCTAGTGAGGCAGATGAGCTTTATATAGTAAATATAATTGTCAGAAGTAGTGGAAGGAAGCAACTGATGCAACTCATAAATGTAAGATTACTGCAGGTACTGTATGCAGTGTGGATGTGTTTAAATACAGTAAAGTAGCCTATAGATGGCGTTGTGGGTAAGAGATTTCATAGACGTGTGGTCTCATGGATCTGGCAGTATACGAATGGGTCCACTGGACAGTACGTGTCGCTCTTGGTGTTGATCAGTCCAGAGATCTCTCCTCAAACGCTTTCGGCAGCCCTGTGTACAGCGAGATTCCCCTTGTTCCTGCCCACACACCAGCACACGGCAATGCAGGAACACCTCCTAATACACACACAGTACACACAAACGTTTCAGCAAAGTAATAATAGCTAGCCCATTAGCACACAAAAGCACATGCATAGGACAGACCAGGCAGCTGAATTTGCCAGCATGCACCTATTCCCTACTCACTCTGTTGTCCTTGCCAATGAACTTGAAGACAGGGACCTGGTAGTGTTTGGAGAGCTGGTCTTTAGCCGAAAGCTGACGCACCGTATCGTCTGAAATGCAGCTAAGAAATATAAGACCATTAAAGCACAACATTCTCTAAATACAGACTCTGCCTTTGTTTAAAGGTGCCAGAAGCAATCGCTCCTCAAAATACCATGGATAGATTGTACCCACAACCTCACAGATATGTAACCCCTCTCTCCCGGGTCCTCACCGCCACACCTCGTTCTCGCTCCGAGTGGGTCTCCAGCATGGGAGGCGGATGCACTAACAAGGAGGCTAAAGACTGCAGCCACTAGCGTCAGTCGCTAGTGCGTCTCTTGCGATCAGGGGAGTGAGGTTTACCTGCACAGCACCTACTCGCTGGCCTTCGTTACACTCACCCCCCTAAACCTCACTCCCATCCGGGTCACGGCACCAATGTCACCCCTCTCCCCCGGGTCCTCACCGCCACACCTCGTTCTCGTTCCGAGTGGGTTTTCGAACCCGGGTCTCCGGCATGGGAGGCGGACGCGCTAACAAGGAGGCTAAAGACTGCAGCCACTAGCGTCAGTCGCTAGTGCGTCTCTTGAGATCAGGGGAGTGAGGTTTAACTGCACAGCACCTACTCGCTGGCCTCCGTTACAGATATATGACACTGAAAACGGTGTCCTGAGGAATCACACCTGCCTCTGTGACAGCCCTAGGGGCTAAACACAGGTAATAAAAAAAATGTCAGGGGAGCCACCCAGTCAGAAAACACTATTTGCTTCTTTTATCTGTCAGGTTTGCTACAGTATTCAGGTTTTGGAGAGAGATATTTTGGTAAAAGGGAAATCAAAATGGCTAAAATCACTTATAGCACCAGTCATGGAGCATGCAAAATGGTATTGAGTGTACAGAATTATTTTAAATACCTACCCATCTTTGATAAGGTAATATTTTAAGGCCTGGTCAGCTTCGCGGCCAGGTGTTGCAAAACAGCTTTCTACAAAGGCAGCAAGGCCATCCACCCGCTCTCGTGGCTCAACACCAAAGTACAGCGAATCATGCAAACGCAGTTGAGGAGGTTGGTTGTACGACTCGGAAAATTCTGCGTTTTTGAAGAGCTCCAAACTGAAGGGGAATATTCCTTCGCTGTGGCCCACTAACTCGAGTGCTGTGTTGCGCAGACTGGGCAGGTAGCCATCCGACACCTCGTACTGCCGTGGAAACTCACACGTAATTGGCAGCAGTAGTTTACTGGTGCGCACAATCAAGTCCCCATTGCTGCTGGGACTAGACCGTGGCAACCCTGTTACCAAGTTGGTGCCAACAATTTTGTCATCAATGACCTGGAGAAGAGAGAAAGGAAGATGATTTTCCACTACAGTCCCAGAGAACTATCAAATATTTTATAAGTCAACATGTAATGGTATTCACCACCTATTTTACTTCAGTAATGTAAGAGTGAGGATAAATATGTAAGCTAGGACTTGATTTTATCCATTAGGGTTGGATTCTGAAAAGTAGGTGTTACGGATCCAGACCTGGATGCGAGCCGCAGATTATAAAGGAACACCATTGGCAAGTACTTTTGAGGAGACTTTTTGACCAGGATGAGGGTGAAGGTCAAGTTCACCTCTGGAACATCACAGTATTTCCCAGTGGTAATGGTTCTTTCTGGCTCTATTATTATTGGCTATTATTGCCATAAACTGCAGCACATTAAAAACCGACAAGTTTTCTGGAACCTGGTATGCATGAAATCCAATGACTGATCAAAGTTTGAAAAATCCATAATTTTTACCTGGACCACAGTGCCACATGTCTTCAGACTAAAGTGGAGGTTAATGTGGGTGCCATTGGAAATGCCCCGGCAGGAAGTGTTAGACAAGAAGAGTTCAAGTCCTCCCACCAAGTCTTTGGGAACCGAGACCTGTATGAACCTAGGATCACACTGCACAGGGACTGCACACAAAACACACAAACAAACAACAAAACGTCAAAGTGAAATCTACAAACCCTGACAGATAAGTGGCAAAAGGCAGGAAAGATAAGTTCAGCTCACCCTGACAGGTTAGTTTGTCATCTCCCAACATCAGACCCCGGGGACAATGACAGTAATATGAGTCGTCCTCTGAGGAGCATCCATGGCTACAGCCTCCATTCACATTGTAACAGCCAGCAGTCTCTACAAAGAACCACAGAAACCACAATGCATGAGTTAAATGAAAGTCTGCCCATATTCAGGATGCTCTGTTTTACCATGTTCTTACCTTTACAGCTCTTCCCGTCCAAGTCCAGTACTTTACCTGGTCCACACTCACATCGACGAGAGCCCTTGGTGTTGATGCATATTTCTGCACATCCTCCATTGCCTTTCTCACATTCGTTCACATCTTACATATAACACACCAGAATGAGTTAAAAACAGAAGCAATGTCAAGTAGAAACTTCGAAGGCAGCATCCTAACTTAAATAGATCGAGTTGGAACACACAGGCAGCAGCTTTGCACGTCATTGAATGCTTCACCTAAGAAGACTAGACTCGAGTGCATTAGGATTGTTTTCTATATATGCAACATTGCTTTAGAATTTGTCTGTGTGTCTTTGTTTCAGGAGCAACACAAAATGCTGCCTTAAAATGTTCCCTCTGTAGGTGGATGACTGTTTTGCAACAAGGCCAGTAATTTATGTTGTGCTGGAAGTGGAATTGACAGTGATTAGTTAAGTTGCTCCTGACAAGTAAAAAGGTTATGAAATGCTTACAGGAAAAACTGAAAGCCCGAGAGAAAGGATCAATGTGCACGATAGACGGCTTGATGTCCTTAAGTATATCCGATCCAGTAAATGAACACATTCAGTTACATGTAATTGTTTTCACTTATTCTGTTTACTTCTTATTTTCCTGTTGTGTCTTTGCCCCTTCACTACAGCATTTGGAGTTGACACCTTTCTCTCACCAGCTTGGGAAGAAGGACTACTTCACGCACCGTGTCCCTTCTGCAAATTAAGGAAGGATTTGAGGGGTCTAACCCTTCCAATTAGGGCTTAAGCCCCCAAGTCAAACTAAAAGTTGGAACGTCTTTTTATTTTATTTTAACAGTGTTTCAAGTGTGTCAGAGTGTGTAGACTACTTGGGCCTATACCATGGGTGTCCAGTCCTGCTCCTAGAGGGTCAACGTCCTGCAGAGTGTAGCTCCAACAAAGCCTGTATCAGTGTTACCAAGTCTGCAGTATTACCACGGAATTGGGCTACTTTTACACATTTGACACAGGTTATTTTTTATTTTGCAGGTTAAAGTGATCTCAAGGAATGCAATTTTGATGGAGGGGACCTCCAACAGAGGGGAAAACCGCGGAAAAATTGCTATTGGGCTAGTTTTGAATTGCGATTAGGCTGGTTTTGTTCCACAGACCTGGCAAAATTGGCAACCCTGTGCTGGAGTATTCTAGTAATCCTGAAGACCTTGATTTGTTTAATTATAGTTGGAGCTAAATCTGCAGGACCTCCAAGAGTAGGATTGGACCCCCACACCCTATACAGTCTTGCCCTAACTTCTATTTATCCTTGGCCTCTGGCTGTTCTTGTAACCACATATCCTTAAGAGATAGAGACTTGTGAACATAAGTTACGCTCATTCTGAGAGGTAACCATAGCAACAGCACCAGACAGGAGCAATTTGTCTTCAAGACAAACTTCAGCAGACTGTGTCCTGACCATTACCTACAGAAATTCCTTTAAAAATATATACCCCTTGAAAGTTGCTGCATAATTTGCACTTTTCACTATTAAAAGCATAGATTTTGATGGCTGCCTTTGTACAGTACATTAGTGTTTCTCAATTTCGCCTTTTAACAGTCTTGCGGTCACTTTCTCATCACTGCAAAAGTCCACTGTCATTCTCATCATAATATAACTCTTCTGCTCTATAAGTATTTATCTTGGCCAGGCTTGGACCGCACTGTTACTTACCCAGACATGTCTGTGCATCAGGGCCTAGAATCGTTCCCTCAGAACAGCGGCATTCTGGCTCGACAGGACAGTCAGCTCCGTTACACTCCCCCTCATCACATATGTCATAGAAATCTATGGCGACACACATAACAAAACAGTCTGATGGAGGTCAGTTTTATCCAACATGTCAGAAAGACCCAGTGAGGCAGGAGGAAGACTTACGGCCACAGTAGACGTGGAAGCAGACGGACGGTCGGGGCAGGCGATAGACATAGTAACCCTTAGCACAGGCCTTTACGTCCACACTAGCTGTCCAGTGACAGCAGTTATTATTGAAGCTAGCACACGCAGGGAGGGTGACAATGCCATCACTAGGCTGAGGGTGACTGCCATTCAGCCAGATGGGGGCATGGGTACCACAGTGGTTCTCCTCGATACAGAAGGTTGGCATAGCATCCCCAGCCATCCCCGTAAAGCGATACCACTCTCCCGCCACATGCCGGTCGCACAGAGGGACTCCCGCAGAGTTGTTGACGTGGTAGTCAGTGTTCCGCCATGGTTCATTCAGACTGATATAAGCTGAGCAGGGATCTAGAGCTAACCAGTGCAAGAGAAAAATTGTTCAGAACTGGTCAGCACATATTATGTGTTACAGCACTGTATTGATACAGATTTCCTGCTTTTATTCTGATTTAACAGGACAGTCAGCTCCGTTACACTCCCCCTCATCACATATGTCATAGAAATCTATGGCGACACACATAACAAAACAGTCTGATGGAGGTCAGTTTTATCCAACATGTCAGAAAGACCCAGTGAGGCAGGAGGAAGACTTACGGCCACAGTAGACGTGGAAGCAGACGGACGGTCGGGGCAGGCGATAGACATAGTAACCCTTAGCACAGGCCTTTACGTCCACACTAGCTGTCCAGTGACAGCAGTTATTATTGAAGCTAGCACACGCAGGGAGGGTGACAATGCCATCACTAGGCTGAGGGTGACTGCCATTCAGCCAGATGGGGGCATGGGTACCACAGTGGTTCTCCTCGATACAGAAGGTTGGCATAGCATCCCCAGCCATCCCCGTAAAGCGATACCATTCTCCCGCCACATGCCGGTCGCACAGAGGGACTCCCGCAGAGTTGTTGACGTGGTAGTCAGTGTTCCGCCATGGTTCATTCAGACTGATATAAGCTGAGCAGGGATCTAGAGCTAACCAGTGCAAGAGAAAAATTGTTCAGAACTGGTCAGCACATATTATGTGTTACAGCACTGTATTGATACAGATTTCCTGCTTTTATTCTGATTTTCAAGCTCTCGATTCAATTTATTTGAGTATGTTTTGCTTATAATATTCATTGTTCTTACATATAAAATTATTTTTCTCCATTAATGCAGCAAATTTCACAAGGCAGTGGTTTCTGCGACCCATGTACAGTATATTTAATTGGACCTCCTTGGTCAAAATCATGTCTGGGGTGGGGGTAGAATTTGCAGGGCCTCGGGGGGATCTTCAGGGGCCCCCAACAACTCTGGGCCCCCTGTACTAGACTCACTGTTCCTGCCACTAGTAAGGCTCTTGCAAATTAGTAACTCATCTTTTTTACTATTCATTAAAATAAACCATTTGTTTTGAGAATCAGGATACTGTTCACGCATTATGTTTTTTTTATTTACCTTTATTTGTATAACCTTTGTTTTATATGTATTTGTATTTACTGAAACAAAACTGGTCCAGCTCATAAGAGTCAGTCGTTCATTAATTGAACGGTCTACACTAGCTTGCCTTTTGTATGTTTATTTAAAGCCTGTAAGGACAACTTAATAGAAAGAAGTTTCTTGTCATTATTTTTACTGCATACATTGTTTACTACATCACGTTCATTGCCGTTACGGCACTGAAAATAGGCATGAAGTATTTGATTTGGAAATTTTATGAACTGATATCAAGATCACTTAAAGAAAGATTGTGATTAATTGAAATATTAATTTTTAATGTCTGGTGACACCAGTGGCAAGAAATCACACACTTAACCTATAACTAACTTAACCTGCAAGCTTCATTTGAAAGATGAACTGGCCAACAAGCTTTACCAATTTTTAAGCTTTGTTGGTGAATGATATGGTCCACCCACTAGAAAACTACTAAACCAACACTTAACAGCATTAACTAGTCAGGAAATATATGCTGGTCTATGCTGGTCATTTCAAAAGTGGTAGAGGAAAGCCTAATAAGCTCAGTGTCATCTCTTTCAGAATGTGTTTTTAACCAGAGCAGGTTTACTAAAGCTACTGTATACAGATAAATTCCTGCACCCTACAGCATGCATGCAACTGCTTGTTAAATAAGATCTGTCAGTTCAAAACCCTTTTCTTTCAGGTGGTTGGCAGCTTACAAAGGAAGGCTAATCAATACTCTACACTGCACCCTTCCTTACACTCTCAAATGAATTAGGTCCTCGTATGAAGTTAGGCTGCTCTGCTGGACCATGTGGAAATGAAAAATGTTGCAGCATAAGACGTGAAAGACCATTCGTCAGGAAGCGGCAGCAGCTTGATGAGGCATAGAGGGAGAATCCTTTCCACAGTAAATTATCACATCAGATAAAACAAAAATCAAAGCCACTTTAAGACTTGAAGAACCTCAGACACTTTGATCTTCTGAGATACGGACAAGAACCACATAGTGTATTAACATACAGGCATCTGTTTCGTTATCACCCTGAGAGAAGATGCGAGAAAAGTCCCTTCTCACCTATCCTTTTCATTCACTTCCTCCACCTCACTCCGCTCACTCAGAATGGTCAACAGCATAATATATTGTTCTACATGAATGCAAGTGATATTCACAGTCATGTTTGGTATCATTTGAATTGTCTCAAGTCGACTGGTACAATGGTCTCAATCTTACAAGAAGTAGACTAAAAGGTCATACAGATCCTAAGAGTTTAGAGATATTTTGCTCACTGTTGAGGGTGTGTCATTTCCCAGTGTCTTTCATGCAAATTACCATCTGTTCCCAAAAGGTGTATACTCCCCTGTCTAGGATGTGATCAATGCAAATTCCAATTTCTAGTTCCTGTCTCCATTTGGGGGATGTTTGTCTTGGTCTGAGTACTTAAGGAAATGTTGCAAGAAGAACAGGGCACTTCTGTAGCCAGATGAGCCCGTAGTGTGGTGTGTCTATACACTCCATACTATGTATTTCCCGAAGTCAAGTATGCATCTTTTACTCTTAAATCTATCTTTGAGAATTTGATGTCTTGTATTGATTTGATATCTCTGTTTGACTATGTAATTGGCATAATACAAAATTACCTGACTCACAATAAATTGTTACACACTCTTAAAAATAAAGGTGCTTCATGATGCCATAGAAGAACCTTTTTGTCTAAATGGTTCTATAAAGAACTTTTAACATCTGAAGAACCTTTCTGTTTCACAAAAGGTTCTTTGTGGTGAAAGAAGGTTCTTCAGATTATAAAAAGGTAAGAAAGAGATGGTTCTTTAAAGAACCTTTGACTGAATGGTTCTTTGTGGAACCAAAAATGGTTCTTCTATGGCATCGCTTGAAGAACCTTTTGAAGCACCTTTATTTTTAAGAGTGCATTTGATTTTATTCTGACTTCTGACTCTGAAATTATTGACTCTAGTAGATTATGTTGTATCCTTTTTACCGCATTGTCTGCATCAGGTTAGTAACAGACTAAAATCCAGTTGAGATGGAGCATAGGGCACGCCAACTGTATCTTTAGAGATCTGGCTAACACATGGTATTAGTTCAAGTGTACTTACACTATAAGGGCTAAAAGGGAATTTCCGTTTAGGTCAACTGGATGTTGTTCGACCAACCTAAATAAGGTGAGCCTAACCTCTGTTTACTGTAATGTTACTCTAGCTAAGTGAGCATGGGAAAACATGGCATGACCAAACCAAAGCTACTATCAGAGAAAGTAATGTTGGTTGGCTTATATCGTAGTAGTGGTCGTGACCTCTGACTAGAGATAATGTTGCTTTATTCAAGTTGGTACAGATCTTTGGGGACTAAACAAAAGTACTTTTAGAATGAGCAAGCATAGGAGTGGCTATCTAAAGTATTAGTAAATTACCTCTGTCTAATAACCAAGACTGCCGAGTATGTGACCATGAGGTACGCTAACGGCCGATGCGATATCTCTGAGTGACATGAGAATCCGAATGAACGAGTACAATAAGATTAAAGGGTTAACTAGAATAATCATATGTCTAGATAAATTATCATATGAATGATCAATAATAATTGGCATTCTAACCTAAATTCGAGGTCATAATAAAATGGGGTCAGATTAGAGTTTAATTGAAATTAAATTACTTTGCGCACCGAAAAGACCGAACATGCGGGAAACCTTCAGCCACCGTTGGATACCTTTGTTGGGTCGTAGACCTTACACCGCAAACAACAAACTGTCCCTTGGCTTGTGGTAAATTTGCCCTGTCGTGCAGGTATAGAATCAATTCTCGCTGGTCATACCTAATTCCAAATCATCACAGTAGAGGTCAGGGCTTTTTACGCAAAAACTCAAACCTTCAATTAGGTGGACATTTGCCTCATACTTGCCTTCTCAAAATCCTCTCACAATGCATTTAAATGTGACTTTTACATTTTCTGAAGGAAATGTGAGCGGTGCTTGTCTATGTAAAACCGACCACCTTTATGCTAGGGTGTTGCTTTTTGTTTACTAAGAGTGTTTTGTTTTTGCTATGCTGTTGCCAGCATGTCCTGAATGGTTGCTAGGTGATTGCTTACTGAAGTGAAAATAGCCCACCCAGTTTCGGGTTTCCAGATATGGCTCATCTGATAACTTAAAAAAGTATTAACACATCCATATTATTTGCCATATTATTAATGTGTAATCATTTAAATTTTATTATTATTATTTTTTTAATCACAATCCCTTTGTAACAGTGCCTTAGAAAACAACACTTTCACACCCACATAAATGTTTTAATATTATAATTAATATTACAGTGTAGTATTATCAGCACAGGAAGAATGTAGATAGGTCTGTCTCCTAGGGATGTTCAGTTGATACAAGAACAGCTGGAGGTCAAGGATAAACGGATGTTCAGGTCATGACAATTTACCGTAAATACAGCATTCTTGGACACTGTTACAATAAATTCTCAATGTCATCTTTCACATCAGCTGCATATCCACATACAACCCCACCTACCCACACACAGAATTTATTTTTATTTTTTTCAATCCAAATACTGTTTATTTCTTGGGCATATTTTGGTATATATAACAAATGGTGCATGAGCTTAAATTATGAATGTTTCTTGATAAAGATATTTAATTATTAAATAGAATAGAATAGAATAGAAACTGAGCCAAAAGCATTGACTCATTTTAACCTCCAGAGATGTTTAACTAAAAAATAACAATAATAATCTTTACCTTTATCTCTACAGCTATGATTAAGTAATCATATTAATTTAGATGTCACACATCACTATTACTATTGCTTATAATCAGCTTTGGCACATAACCCATCCCGGATCATTTATGGTACAATCATAATTGATAGTTCAATTTCTTATTAAGCAGATGTCTGCTAAGTGAGCAGATTTGTGATTTCCATGAACTTACATTGAGGTACTTGAACCATATCTAGAGCTGTATTACAGAAAAATCCTGACTCAGAATCCTATCCTATATATTTGGTAACCATGGTAATTTTAATTAGGAAACATCTTCAAATCTTAAAGGGTTAGTTCACCCCAAAAATTACATTCCTGTCATCATTTATTTACCCTCATGTTGTGCCAACCCTGTTTGACTTTCTTTCTTCTGTGGAACAAGATAATTTGTGAATTGTCTCACTGATTTTTTTTCTTCTTCATACAATAGTAGTCAAAGGTAACCACGATTTTTCAAAATATCTTCTTTTGTATTCAGCCGAAGAAAGTCGTACCAGTAAGGAATGACATGAGGGCATGAGGGTGAGTAAATAATTTTTACTAACCCTTTAAGTCAAGAATTAATATGGGAAGTTTCTGTAATACAAAACATCAAAAACACTTGAGGATGGGCCAGTAAGAACATTTTGGCTTTACCTATTAGCAACCACACTGTAGCAACACACTAAAACCACTCAGAACCCCCCACATCTAAAATCATGGTGGTGACTTTTTTTTTTTTTTTATGTTTTATTTGTTAGGGACATTTCTGGAAGATCATTAATATAAATGATAAAAAGAATCGGACCCAAAATTGTTCCCTGAGGAATTCCTATATCAATATCATGAGGAACTGACTTAAATTTATCAATGACAACACTTTGACACGATTTTTTAAATATGAATCAAACCATAACAGAGATTGTTTTGATATATTATACTTTGTTATTTTTGACATTAAAATATTATGATTTACGGTATCAAATGCCTTTTTCAGATCCAGGAATACTGCACCAACTTTAAATCCTTTATCGAGTGACCGCTTAATATTTTCTAATAATAAACAAGTAGCAGTTTCTGTAGAATGGTTATGTCTAAAACCAAATTGTAAAGGGTGTAAAAGATTATTAGTCTCTAAGTGCTGCAAAAATTGTTCTGATACAACCTTCTCCAGCACTTTAGAAAGAACCGGGAGAAGACTAATTGGTCTATAGTTAATTATATCATCTGAATTCCCAGATTTGAAAATAGGCTTTACCAATGCTTTTTTCCAACTATCAGGGAACTGCCCAGTTCTGATAGAAAGATTAATAAGATGGGTAAGGGGCTTAACTAAAACACTTCCATTTTTTTTTTAAAAAGGCAGTGTCAAGATTATATATATCTTTAGAACATATAATGTGACTATTGTCAAGTCACCTTTATTTATATAGCACTTTGTGCAATACAGATTGTTTCAAAGCAGCTTTATAGTGATAAACAAGAAAATGATGCAAACAGAATTCAATTCTGCTGTAAATCAGCTCTATTTTTAGAGACAATAGTAAACAGTCATTATTCAGTTGAAATCGGTTCATTGTTGATTCAGTTTGGTTCAATAACTGTAAGGTCCATCAATTATGGAATGAGTTTAATCTATAAAGCAGCTTTGGAGAAAACAGTGAGCATGTAAAGGTAAGAATGTCCTTCAAAAAATTTCAAATATATAGTATTATAGCAATATGCTATTCACAGTCATTTGAAAAATATCTAGTTTTGGTTTCTGCCAGTCTTAAACTTAATGGAAAACTGGTTGGCAGTGTCCCTTAGAATGAAACTCCAATAAGCTCATAATAATAAGCAGTGTGCGTGTTAAACAGTAAGTGCTTACCGATGGCCTGTGCTGTACTCACAGCTTGTAGAAGAACAACCAGAATGAAAAGCATGTCCAGTGGTAGAGAGGAACTTATTTAATGAGAAAGCCACAGACGTACACCCAGTCGTTCCCGTCTTGTCACAGTTTGTGGAAGAGATTTGTGGTTTGGAGTCTTTTATCTCTGTCGTTATGAAGCGTCTACTAGCACAATGACTGTAAACATTTTGTTTGTCGTCTTCCCGTGGACAGGACATTTATCTCACCTTGACCTCTTCTCCTGTCCCCTTGTCCCGTTTAAGAAAACCCACCTCTCCAGATAGAGACAGGACCATCCTCTCATTGTTATTGGAGTCCGGCTTATCCATCCCACACTGATACATCTCCTCTATCTTCCCACCCAACACTAGTCAACCGTCTTCAGCTGCTGACTCTGTCTACATCTGCACTGCTGTCACTGCTGTAAGAAGTGTAAGAAAATAAATTCAGGAGGAGTTTCATCTCTTGCTTTCTGTTGAACTTCTTATAGGTGTTTATAAGTCAGACTATATGCACAGCAGTTCAACACTTAGATTCATCCATCCACTTCACATCTTCAGAGTTCACAATCTTCAAAGTTCTTTAACCCATACCATTCTCTTTTTATTTCTCTGTAACGTACATTTACATTTAGTAGACTTAGCATTCAAGAGGCTTCTCTTCACTGATTATGTAAGTTTATCAAGCACCAAATCAGCACATTAGAAGAATTTCATAAGGATTATGTACAGGTTTCTCACATAAAGCTATTGTATGGCTTCATAAAGCTTGGAATACAAGTCATATAAACTACTTTTATTATACTTTTCTGTTGCTTTGTCTTATCAGTTTAGAGAAAAGTACTCCTTTAAGACATCCATTAGTCAGTAATCAGTCAGACTTAGCTTTGCACGTTGTGAAGTTCGTCGTCTTTCCTTTGTCCTTCACAGCAGCACAGGAAAGACGGGACAATGTGCTGCTAATCATTGGTGTCATTAGCACAGAGTAGAGGAAAGTGTCTGAAGGTTATCGCAGAGACTGAAGAGAGGAGATTGACAAATGGAGAGGTGCTACTGGTTTTCTCAAGTCTTAAGAGTTTAACAAGCATGGATGTGTCCGTTTTATTCCTCATTTAAGTAAAGAAGAGAAATGGGCTGAAATGTGGGAAGAGTCTTTTAGAGTTACTGGGCTGTCTAGTAATAATGTTTCCTTGTTGCTTAAGATCAGTTATAGAATATCAGAGTAAATGCAGACTTTGCAAGAATGAAACCATGGGAGAAAAACAGTCTTGCTTTCTTCGCGTAGGTAGAAAAGAAGCATCTTCTTTAAGGGCATTTGATTGCATACTAATGCAGTCAAACAGAAACCTGCTATCTGGTAGGAAGCTGAGCTAAATGTGGGAAGAACCAGGAGTCAAGCAGGTCAAGGAGAACATCACTGTTGAGGTAAACATGACTCTAAAACAAGTACTGCAGCTTAATTAGAAACATCCCATTCACTGTTACTATGAAACCTTATACACACAGAGTTGTGGTCAGAATTGTTAGTACCCATGGTAAATATGAATAAAGAAACCTGTGAAAATAAATCTGCATCCTTAATCCTTTTGATCTTAAAAATGTACAAAAATCTAGCCTTTCATTGGAGAATAAGAATTTAAAATCTCATGAAAATCTCACACTATGTTGCACTATAAACAGATTTGTATTTACAATAAATAAATAAAATGACTACCGGATCCAAAACTGGATAAGTATTTATTGATAATTGAATTACATTTCTCTTTTATACACATTTCATAAATGATACAGGATTTTACATAGTCATTTTTAAAGTCTTCTGATATTACAGCATCCGATGCCAATGACAAAATGAACAAATGAAGAATATGAAAAAAATGTTTTTCATTCAGTGTCACCCTTTACCTTTTTTCCCCCCCGAAATATAATTTTCATTTTAAGTGCACATGAAGAAACCTTTAAAATAATACACATACCTAAAACATAATCAGTGTGGGAGTATAATAAGGAGTTAAAGAAAGACGGACAAATGGATGGAGCGAGGGGTGTTCAAGAAGGTCAGGTCTTCCATACTCTCTGATCTCAGATCAGTGTTCAGAATAAAGGCAGCACTGCATAGATTGCAGCATTGAGACTGAGAGAGGATAAAACAAGACATAACGAAGGGGAGATCCTTGACCAATCAGAGCCTGTGTAGCAGCCGAGAGCATCCTTGCTGCTGGGTCATGGAGGGTGAGGGATTGGGTGGGAAAAAAAATCGAACTCTGCAATCTGCATTCATAATAATCTTTGCTTTTTTAATTAATTTATATATAATTTCCCCATGTAAACATACATTCATGCAACACCCGCTTTAGAATAAATTCCATATATATGATATATTATTATTTAAAAAACCCTGAAACAAACAGAAAACCCTACAACTAAACTAAAAGAAGTTCAACGTATCAGATAATGACCAGACCCAAGACCTATTAGAGGTCGAGGGATGTCAGTGTACTGGGCATCCTGGAGAGTGAGATGGTTGAGTTTTTGCCCTGAAATAACTTTGGAGTGTGTTTAGGCCTGAATTTATGACTGTTGATCACATAAGAGAGGAAGAATGGATGTTTTTATGCTCATGATGAATTGCTATGGACGAAGATTATGCATGAATAGAAAATTCATGAAGTCCGAGACGAGATGCTGACACCAACTGCATATTGTCACAAATGTGCACAGCGACCTTGATTCTGCCTTCCATCAACATCCTTTATTGATCCTAGAATGACATCCCATTCAACCAGTTTTGAGGTTTAGGTTAAGGATTATGAACATTTGTATAATCAACTGCTCATTTCCTTCAGGGTGATTAATGCTTAGCTTCAGCACTGTGCCTCAATGTTATTTCAGGACCAATAAAAGATATGCATGTGTCCTGTACCCATCAGCTACGACTGGAGTGATGGAACCACAGTTTAAATTTCAGTTAATAGGGCATACAGTCTGATAAACCCTGTTCAAACTCAGATAAAAGAGTGAAGCATCTCCACTGAAAGCAGCTGGGTCAGACATAATGCAGTTATCAGGCTGTTATCTGTTAAAAATCACCTACAGTTCAGGTCTTGCGGTGTTAAATCACAATGTAATTCACTCAAGCACACCGAGTAACTACCATTGACCTGAACTCCTCATCAACAATAAATAGTCACTGTTAAAGGGCCTCCATCACAACACTTACACTTTAGCCAGACATGCAAAATCCGCAAACCACCGTTTGGTTTATGATAACCTGGATTACACTTTCCCTTCCCAAAAAGGTCTGTTGTTATTTACCATAATGCCATTCCAAACCCAAAGGGATTATTTTTTGTCCAGTGAACCCAGATCAGAAATTAGACCATGTCTGTCAAGCTACAGAAAAAAAAAGTAAATGTTTATATGACTCAAATGCTATATTACTGGTTTCCTGAATACAATCGCTTTCTGTGAGGAACAGACTGAAATTTAAAATGTAAATTCTTTCAATGTTTACTCACCCTCAAGTCATTCTAAACCCATAAGACTCTTCAAAACAGCAAATGAGGACATTTTTAACATTCTCTCATCACTTGTGTCCATTCTTTGAAATTCCACACAACAAAAACACTGATCCATCAAAAAAGAGGTAATAAAAGTAATCCATAAGCATCAAGAGATTTAATCCAAGTCTCATGAGGAGAACACAATCAATTTATTTGATCAACACCGCTCTATGTATGTGCATTGAATTAATTAATTTGTACATTAATAAAAGCCTATATTAAATCTCTTCATCATATAAAGTCTCTTCCGAAAACTTGACCTAAACCAGCTGATTCATACAAATGTGTTTTTGTACTTTCTGACACGTCAAAGTCTTCACTGACAAAATAAATGTTATTAATGAATTACTGAATGTTAACAATATCTTTATTTCTGTTTTAAAGAAATTTAAGTCTTGTGGGTTAGTAATGACACGAGGGTGAGTAAACCTACACAAAATGTACATTTTTGGCTGAACTATCCCTTGCAGTCATCAACTTCTGAAAATCTTCCCCATTACTGCAACTCTGAAACATGAAACATCAACGTTTGAATCTAAAGATGAACACAATTGACAGTTTAGAAAAAAATTATATCTGTCCCTCAAAACTGTTAATTGTGGCTTCTGTGGTCAGTAAGAATGTTGTATGGAAATGAACTGCTAAATTTCTCCTTTTGAGTTGCACAGAACATTCTTTTTTTGGATGAATTACAGTATCTCTTAAATGTTCCGTTTGTCAGAGCTGTAGGCTGGAGTCTCGCCCTGTAATCCCTCCACCTCTAGAGACACAAACACAACTTGAATATGGCTTTAAAAACGCTTAATGACGACCACAGGCACAAACATGGACAGTCTGACATAAGGAGCAGACTTCTGCTATAGAACAACAGAGCTATTTCTCTGCGGGGGTCTGAGTGTGTAAGGCAAACCCATAATAGACAATAAGATTACGGGCCATGATAACTGCCCAAAAAAACTATTTCAAGGCTTGTCTTGATATGATCCTTTTGTTAGAGAACAACAAGGGTCAAGTCCATTTCACATCCCTCAGATTCAAAAAGTCTGGGCGACCAGGGAAATGGTTATTTATATATATATATATATAATCTCATGTAATAACTGGACTGAAGATGCATGGAAAAAAAACAAATGAAAACAATGTTGATGATCAGCTCAACCCAGCTAGAATCATTACTAAGGCCTGTCGGCTAAAGATAGCACACATAGACAAAGGATGCGACACTCTCTCTCTATAGCATGCCACGAAGTGTGCAAAACACACGCTAATTCTAGATCTAATATATTACACGTTCTCTGCATGTTCCAGAAGACTTGGCATATCGAGGCAGATCTATGCAGCTAAAAACGCCACATGACTGATGGGAAATTGATCGCATCTGGAACCCTTTTCCAGAAAAATAAATTGCATTTTACACAGTGACCTGCCTTAAGACCATTCGATGGGAAATTTTCTTGGATTGCGTCTGATAAACAGGTGTTTCGTAACAAGCACGCTGCAGCAGATGCTGTGAGGCACTGTGGGAAAATGTCATTTGATGATGTTCGAAAAATGATTTATAGAGAAGAGAGAAGACCTTTAAAGAGGATCCATCTGCCAAGCAACCATGTGTACGTGCGTTTCTCATCACCATGTAAACTGATGGAGTATATCATATTTCTAAAGAAAAAAGCGTTAGGGATGGAGCATTTGAGCATCGTTTGATATTGGGAATCTCATAAAATAAAATATCAGAGCATCTGCAGATATGTAATGTCTGGTGGAATGGTGGCAAAAAAATCTAATAATGAGAAGAAGAAAAGTTTCTGCTCATTTCTCTCTTTTTTTATCATCATAAACATAATATGGCTTTTAAAATAAAAAGTGCCAAAATTCTTTGATTCTTTTTCTTTTTTGGAATAATAGAACACACAGTGATATTTTAGCTGTTAGATCTGTCTTCAGCTCTTAACAGGTCCATACAGGAAGCGAGAAGGAATCAGGAGAGGGTTTTGCTTAGGCTGTAGGATACAGGCGTTTCAGTCACAAGAGGACTGGCTTGATGGTAAACGGATCTTTTCCCGAGACGGAAAAGAGCACCACATCCCGAAATCTCGTCTGCAAAAGTGTCAGAGTTAGGGATATCAGCAGTACTCCAATGTGGAAAAAAAAAAACTGTTCAACCCAAGGGCAGATGGTTTTTAGATTTCAGAGTCTGTTTCCCATGCAAGACGTGGGGTCACTGTCTCATAGCGATGAACTGGTTGAATCCCAGTGTCTCAACTTCCTGTCTGAAGTAGCTGTGCGTTTCTCTGTGTGCGATAGGAGAGCATCTGTCGTCACCATCCGTTCAGGGATGGAGTTTAGTTGTTTCATTTAATTGTATCTCTTCTCCTCTGCATAGACTTGCCAAATTAAGGAAAACAATAAAAAGGATAACAATAAAACTCCTGCTGAAGCCTGCTGTGGATATGGTTTTTCATTGAGGTTGTAGAGATAAAAGAGACAGAAAACAAAATGCAAAAAGGCAGAAGAGAATGAAGTAAGAGAGAGAGAGAGGCAGAAAGGGTGTTCAGGTTCTCATCAGTCCTTGCTGGCAATGATTTGCTGGACAGGGAGGTGCAACTGCAGCGGGTCTCGAAGACGCTTTAGATCCAACTCCGCCTGAGGGAGAGAAAGAAAATAAGATGAAAAATAAGGTTAACATTAGTTAATGTATGAATTAACAATGAACATTTGTTACAGTATTTATTCATCTTTGTTAATGTTAGTTAATGAAAACACCGTTATTCATTGTTAGTTCACAGGGCATTAGAGGAGACATATTATGCCCCTTTTTACAATATGTAATATAAGTCTCTGGTGTCCCCAGAATGTGTCTGTGAAGTTTCAGCTCAAAATACTCCACAGATAATTTATTATATCATTTTGAAAATGCCTATTTTGAGTGGAAGCAGAAACACGCTGTTTTTCGGGCCTGTCTCTTTAAATGCAAATGAGCTGCTGCTCAC